ACGACACACTATCGAGACGCCGCTTGCAGGCGTCCAATTAAATCTGATCCGAAAATGGATTCAGAGTGATAGTAAAACCAAGCGTTAAAGCTGTAACATTAAAACGTCATGCACAACCACGTGATTAGTTGCAGGTATCGAATGGAGGGAAGAGTTTAAATTAAGCATGCGTGTGGCAATTCTAAGTTTTGTTTGAATTTATGTCATCTTGCATACTTTTCTTCATTTTCATGAGCATTTTTATTTATTTTCTTGTTATATAGACCGATTGAATATTTTCGTGCTACTATTGAATATTGAGTACTATTTGTCTATTAAATATGCCTATTAAATACAGCACATGCAAATCTACAGAATTATCAGTCGCGTAAATGGTAGTCGGATTACCAGAGCGGGGTAGCCATAATCCCCTCTGCAAAGGATCAAAATCGTGATGACATGGCTACGGATGATCGTCAGGGATGTTTCCCAGACAGTCGCCAATTGCCCATTGTGCAGCTCTAGTGCGACGTTAATACCGCCAGTCGCGTAATTAGGTTTAATAATAAATAAAAAAAATCAATTTTTATACTTCGTATTTATTAAATCCCTAATAACTTCTGAAATATTAGTCCTATTGCCCTGATTTTTAAATGAATACACCACTTGTCTAGATTGCAAAGTTTAAATGCTTTCCTTCTTTAGCCATCTCTCCCTCCCTTCCGTAAAGTCAAGATGGCGGCTGAAGCTCACCTAGAGAGGAGAGGGGGGCAACTTGCTGGGCCCATACCACAAATTTCAAAACGATTTCCAGCTTTCCACCAGTTATATCAACTACTAGTATTCCATTACTTAGAAACTGTACTAAAATCTAAAAAGATAATAAAAATTTTAGCTTTTAAAATAATCATAATGAAAAAAAGAAGAATATTTTCTAAAAAAGAATCCTGTTATTAATAATAGTTAGCAATAACAATGCGTTGATAACTTTTATCTACACTTTACTACTTTTATGAGCGTTTATTAAGAAAAATTTTCAATTTAGTTAGTGAATAATTAAAATGAAAAAATATTAATGAATTTTTATTTATTTATTTATTTATTTTCGTACAGTTTTGACGACAAATCGACGAGACTTCGAAATTTAGATAAAGGTACCATAATTAATACATATACGAAGTACCACAAATAAGGAAAACATGTAGTTGTTTTACAATAAAGTTTATTATTTTTCAAAAGAAGAAAAGTTACAAAAATTTTTGAAAAATTGAACGAATCATAAAAAAATATTAATTCTGAGCAGATTAGATATAGAAAACTAATACAAATAATCCCTTGAACAAAATAGTAATTGTCTCTATAAGATTAAACTTATATTACATCTAATCCACTACGCGATTCGGCAATTATTTGATTTAGATTATTTCATTTTATTTAATTTATAAAATGTCCAAAAAAAAACTTGAAGAATTATGAAAAGCATAAATACTTATCTATTGTTCCTTTCTTTCTTTTTTTGTGAATTGTTAACTTTTTTCTTGATTTCAACAGTGAATTGGAATTTTTGCTCTGTTAAGGTCAAAGTACTCTTTTACCTCCTTCTTCATTTTCTTTTTCTATAACGATTATACGAAAAACTATTTTTATCACTATCTCCCACACCTATTGCAAAAACAATTTTTTCTTTCTTACTACTTCTTCACATTCTTCTCCCCCCCCCTTCTTTTATCGAAGTTTTAGTAAATCGTGTTCTGTGATTTTAAACTCGGAATTTTAGAGAGGTATAATTTTGATGAAGTTTAATACTATGTTCTTGGTTTCTATGTTTTCGACTATGCAATGTATTGACTCAAATAAAATAAAAAATGCCGCAAAAATTTTGAAATGTCGATTCAAAATTAAGAAATCTCATCGAAAAACATGGAAATCAGTCTATCGAGTGTTAGTATTAAAATGAGAAAAATATAAATAATGGGTTGTCATTCGATTGATTTCTTATGAGCATATAAAGTTGTTAAATATGTTTAAAAAACGAGAGGGGGAGGGGAATGTACATATGAGCTCTTTTTTCAAAACTTAATGGTAATTTTCTATTAATTTTGGTAGCATTTATAGAAACAAACCTTGCTTTTCCAAAATATGAATAATTGTATTAATTTTTTTTTTAAAGTCCCTGCCACAGCTACGAAATGAATCACTCTCGCATTTAAACATCTATCATTTGGTTTTAGTTCTGAAGAATTATTCTTTTTTTAAAACATATTTGAGAATTCCTTCGTCTTGTACAGTGCGCAAAAAAAAAACAAAAAACGGACCACCTTTCATAACTTTTGATCTAATGATTGCATCTTCACGTTCTAGAACTCATTCTTAATGGTTCAAGGGGGTGACCTCAAAAAGGCTAATCAATAAGCGCAGACCATAATTTAAGTTACGAAATCAGACACAAAAACGTACTTCCTCTGAATAAACATATCTTTTTTTCTTTTTTTTTCGGATTTCTGACCCCCAATAAATCTGAGAAATAGAGTCCCAATAGTTTGGTCAAGAGAGGGGGTCAAACTTTGAACCCCTTAATGTATATTTAATTTTTTATGTATTTCTCTATATCTCGGAGAAAGAAAATTTCAAGCAAAAAGTAAATTTTAGTAAATATTTATTATTTTTCTATTATTTTATTTAGTGATAATCTAAAAAATTTTGAATTGTAAGGAATACAATATTTTACATCATTTTAAAGTACGTAATTTTAAATGGCAAAATACAGAATTCGACGGAAAACGGTTGGATAGTTCCTGAGAACTCCAGACATATTCGACCCATTTCGCTCAAATTTTGTATTTTGCCACATAAAATTACAAATTTAAGTATGACGCAAAAAACTTTCTAACTTACAATTCAATTTTTTTTCGATTATTATTAAATAAAATAATAAAAACTAATAAATATTTACGTGCTTCGCATTATCTTCGGACAAATGAATTTAATAATTGCGTGCAACTCACTTTCAATTCGCTTAAAAAGTTTTTTGAGATATAGCGAAATAAGCGAAAAATCAAATTAACATTAAAGGGTTCAAACTTTGGACCCCTCTTCTAACCAAACTATTGGGAAAATATTTCCCAGATTACGGCTGTCCCCTATATTTTGGGGGTCAGAAATCCAAATCTATTGAAAAAAGGTATGTTCATTAAGAGAAAGTACGCTTAGGTGTTTGATTTCTTAATTTAAAACATCGTCTGCACTAATTAATTAGCAGATTTGAGGTCACCCTCTCGAACCATTAAGATTGAGTCCTAGAACGTCAAGATCCGATCATTAAATCAAAAGTTATTAAGGGTGGTTCGTTTTTTATTTTACGCACTGTAAATTGCTTTTAAAAGAAAAATGTATGCATTGTTATTAATTCTTTATTTTCATGACTGATTTTAAGAAATGTTAACCTTTCAGAACTTCAGAGGAAAAAATAAATATTAATGATTTTTTAATGATAAGCTCTTGACACTTGAATAATAAGTTTTTTCATTTGAAGGTATTTTTTAATTGAATTTCAATTTTTCATAAAAAATTTCAATGATTTTTGTAACGAAAAATTTCAGTTAACGATAGCTAAATATTTAATTTCTTCATTTGAACGTTTACTTTGTCGAATTTTTCAAGAAAAATGAGAAATTTCTATGTTTTTTTTCTTCCTATGATAATCATAATAAATAAGTTTCTTCTTTTTATTATAATTGAGTCTTTAATTTCATATTTTTTTTTTAATTTTTAATTTTTATTTTTTTTATTTTTTAGTGCAGTGTTGGGTATTTACTTGCCGGTTATCCTGATCGGTATCAAAAGATAACTTTAAACAATTGCTTTTTTAATATTGATTTTTCAAAATTTTTCTGTATTCTTTTTTAATAAAACATAAGTTTACAAGTGTTAAAATCTGATTTTGAACATTTGTGATCAAAATGAGATAAAATTACTTATAAGATTGTGATAGGTTAAAATTTAAATAATGATCATAATATTCTTCTGAGCAATATTTTTATTCCCATATTTATAAATATTTGGGTACTTGCAGAGCCGTTTTTATGTTTATAGGGGCCCTGGGCCTGTCATTATCTGGGGGCCNTCTGGGTACTTGACAGGGACCATGGAGCCTAGTCAGCCCACTGAAACGTGTAGGAACCATCTCAAATTCTGGTTTACACTTTGATTAGGTGTATCGCATACAAACATATCGTGCTCCTTAATTGTAACAATACGTATCGATTACGATAATACCGCAATCATTATTGATAATTATCGAATATGATATTATCGTGATTATTACCGATAGCGTAATTTATAAAAAAAAGATAATATCACAACGCAAATGTTATACATAACGATACTTATTGAACACAATATTTTGTAAGGGTTGATGCATTTTATTTGGGCAGCTAAAATATTGTCCAAAGTAAAATAATAGAATTTGTTAAATTGGAAAAACTTCGCGATAATATTTGTTCTAAAGATATTTTTTGACAACACAGCACAGTGCCAATATTCGTATTTATCGGTTATGTCTAGATTGACCAATATTCATGTTAGCTACAACTAGTAAAAACGGTCGCTTGCACATGATATACCAATAAGCACCAATATAGTTAGTTAAAATAATTTTCATAGCAGCAAAAACTTCTTTTCCTCTTTTAATCTACAGAACTTTCTTAAATAGTTGAGCAAATTTAATTTCAATTTCGAGTCCAACTCCAACTACTTCAACTCCTCACCCCTGGTTAAAATATGATTTTAAAAACTAAACTGATAGTTAAAACCTAATATCTTGAATTTATTAGTAGTTTTTCGCTGTGTTCTTTTTTCAAGACTGTAAATAATACCCAATATACTAATTAATAAATGAAGGAAACGCAAGAATAAATAAATGAGAAATATGAAGTTAAAAATGCCTCATGAGATAAGTCGCCAAATCTAGAGAACTAAAAGAAATCTAACCTGCAGGTATCTAATTACAACCCTGCATGGCCACAGGCTCTCTGCTTCGTCGAACGGTGAACGTGAAGCTACCATAGTTACCTGTCATTGTTTACAATTTGATCTGCATAGGATGATGGTAGTGATGTGAGCAAACACCGGTCAAAAAACACTTTGTTGGGAAATTTTTGTTGCACTTTGTAAAAAGATACAGAAAGCCTATCTTGGAATTTTTTCCGTGTAATTTAGAGAATTTTCTTTTGAAAAAGTTGTCTTTAAATTGGCGCGGATTTTAAATGCGAAATATGAGCGAAAAAAGTGATTGCGGAACTTCGGATGTGAATGCAAATACAGAAAATAAATCTGGATATTATTGGAAAAAAATCCGAGTAAGTTATGCATTTCATTTGTTTTAATATTTGTATATTCATAAAGAATTTTATGACTGGTGATAGTAAGTTAAAAATATCTTTAAGCGCTAAATCTTCGCATTTTCAGAATTGTTCTTCTGAACATTTATTTTCAATCTGAGAGAAAGTTATATTATGTTAATTCTTATAAAAATAATATGCTATGTAAGCGGTTAATTTAGTTGAAAAAAAAGGAATATAAATAAAATTTAACATTAATTTTTCTGAAGGGGGAATGGAAAAACAATTCCTAAAGTAGAATTTGGTTGATAAGTACGTTTTGCAATAACAACAGAAATTTTATCAGTTTTTCTGCAATCATTAAAATTCCTTTAGATAAATCATAAATGCATATGCAATTTTTCTGTATTTCCTTGTCTGGAAAAATCTTTATACTTTTCTTCCTTGTTTTTTATTTATTTATTTTTCCTTCTTTTTGCTTAGAATTTTATAATTATTATACCGTTTGATTTCCTTACCGTTCGTATATAATGTCGCTTGCGTTTGACACATCATAGCCGTTTAAAATACAATTCATCCAAGGATTCATTCCAAACGATTCGTCACAAATGAATCGTTTTCTTAAAAGTATGTTGTCTGTCAAATTTTGACATACCTTTTTTAAAGAAGAAAAAAGGCTTCGAAAGCAGCATTTTGGAAACAGTAAAGAATTGTATAATGTACATAAATTGGGATCTAATTTTAACATTTTTCGTAATGAAAATGCAAATATTGTTTACATAAAAGGTAAAAACAGCCTCATCTATGATTCTGTAAAGATTTTTAATACTGATCATAGAAATTGTTTAACGAACTGTTACGCTTCTTTAACAATATAAACATATTCACATGGAAGAACAAAAAAAACACGATATATTTTTTCTTTATGTGGTGTGAATTTATGTAAAATTCAAGTGTAAAAATATTTATTTCGTTAAACGTTTCTTGTTAAATTTCAGATTCGTATTAAATTAAAAATTTTACCGAATTTTATGCTAAAAAAATTGGAAGTTCTATTTTTATTTTTGAAAGAATTAGTTGTAATCAATAATTAGTCTTTAATAAACATTTAGCTTCGATATTTTTCATTTTTCGAGTTAAATCTAGTTATTTGTAAATATTTCATAAAATATGTACCTCTTTAAAAAAACGTTTTGTTTGTATGTAAAGTTATAAAATGATATGTGATTTTCTAAACGTACGATATTCTATAAGATTAAGACTAGTATTGATAAAGTGGATTATTCTTCTATTATTATTTTTTTTTTTAATAAATAACTAAAATACCCTTAATTAAAATGAATAAATTTCTATCCTATTTTTTAATGAAGAAGATACTGTGACAAGTCAAAATCTAATCCGGATTATATGCAAATTTATTAAAATAATAACATAATTTTTAATAATGCAACAAAATTTTAGTTTAACTAAATTTTTAAATTACATTAAAAGATTATATCCTCTCTATGGGTTTAATTTTTCCTCTTATGCATATTTACTTTGTGTAACTCTTTTTACATTCTAATTTCTCTACTTTTTGTGAATTTTCAATCTTAATATTTGTGGCTTGTAGTTGCCTCAGAAGAAACTTTTCACTTTTATTTCGCAGAATTTTAAGTTATCAAAACCAAAATTATCACTTCTTTATATTATGTAGATAAAAACTATTTGTCTTATCTAAATATATCTTATAAATCTAAACAACCTGAATTCCAACATTCCCGAAATGTCTATACAGTCTTACCTTTTGCTAAAAAAATTTTTTCCCCAAGAGATAATAATAGAAAATATCTAGGGGAATTTGTAAATAATCTGAATTTTTATCTTCTCACATCAATGATGTCTACACTGTTGCACTTTTATCTTTTGCAAAATAAATAAATAAATACAATTTTCCTATTGAATTGGAAGTATTGTAATATTGGGACCCCTATCCTATTAACACCTATTATCCTATTAATAAATAAATAAAATTTAACATTTCATTTTTTTTTTTAATAAACTGTTGTTTGTTATTTTTTACTTATTATTTCCCACCCCCCTTTTTTTCATATGTCTATAATTTTTCTTTGTTTTATTCTTCATTTTGAACTTATATAATGAGTGCTGTTTACTTGCAGCTTAAGCGCAATAAATGATACTTATTGTTTTTCTTAACTTTCTTNTATATATATATATATCATCAGGTTCGACCATTTGAGGGAATTTCTGGTCCACTAGGGTTGCTTTAAGGAGAAAATAAAATAGCGAGCAGCAATAACATGAAATTTTAATAATTTTTATATAATACGTATTTTGAAATTATGTAATGAGCAATTTTAAAATCGATATTAGTACATTTATCTAATTCCGATATTTTGGGTATTAACCATGCTATAAAACACTTTTTCTTTGGTTTTAATATAAAAATGAATTTTAAATTTGAATCTTATGTTTATAATTGTTTTTTTAACATTTCATGTTTTTTACTCCAAACATTTAGTCCCCATGCTAGGTTTAAAGTTAATAGTTAAATGTCAGTCTATTTTTATGGATTCTGTCCGGCCTTATTGTTCGTTAGATAAATGGCTCATAATAATAAATATGTCAATAGAAGAAAGCGAGAATATTCAGGGAGTCAATGGAATAAACCATAATTCCGAGAAAGGTCTTTTATTATACAACTTGTGAACTATAAAAAATTTTTTCTTCAAAGCTATGCAAAACTAAATGGCGCCTGAATAACTTTTCATCAACATATAAGCCTTTCTTTTTGAAGGTTATATGGACAAAACTGCGAATTATTAATAAGGATGAAAAACAAGTTTTCCACCACTTCTATATGCGAATATAGAATCTGAAATAATTTTGCAGTCTACTATTTTCATTTTTATATATATATTTATTTGTTTTAGTTTTTTTTCGCGAAAGCTCTGAAATTTGTTTATAGAAAAAAAGGAAATAAAATGAAATAATTCTACGTATTCTGTAAAATATGTAATTTTAAATCTCAAGTCAATCGGTGAAATTTAGTTCGATTTATGACTTCTGTGGACATGAAAATTGTAACCTCTAGAAATATGTATTTGAAGTTTTCTGGACTCACGTTATGGCCTGACAGAGATTGTGTAATTCAAGATTCCAGCGCTGTTGTCACTTCGTTCAAACGAAACGAAAGAAGAATGATTTTTTTCTAAAATGACCCAATTCTTTCACAGAGGAAAAATATTCTTGTAATACACATTTGCTTCCACTAATGTGTTTACATTTTTATCGTATTTCTGAAGATGAGAAACTACTTAAAACTTTTGGTTTGTCGGCGCCAATGGGTAAATGATGGTGATAAAAGAACGAGAATAAAAGGAAGGGGTTTGAAATGACTCAAAGTTTAGGAATGTTGGCCTTTTTAGGGGCCACGACATTCTATAGACGGTGTCGAGTTGGTCACAGTATGGCTGAAGAGTTAATAAAGAATGCGCTTTGCTGATAGGAAATCAGGTAAAATGATTGATAAAAAATTAAAAAAACTCTCAGATTTTTATTTAACATAACAGAATCAACTGATGGAAACTGTACTAAAATAAATTTTTTATTCCTTGCCAAAAAATTTGTTAAAATTAATGGGTGACAGTTGCGTGCAAAGGAAGGGGGGACAAAGTGCCACCAGTCACCCGATCCAGCATAATTGAGCTTTTTGATTCTATATTTGATTCTATATGACTTCATTATGAAATGATTATTTTAAACAGATAAATATTTGAGTGAAGAAAATTATTTCATTAAGTTTAAAACGTGTTTTAATCGATAAATTTAGTATTGAAGATTTAGGTCATCAAATTTTAAACATTAGTTATTTACATTGAAAAAATGAACTATGTTTTGTTAGTAATAATAATAAATTTTTTTTTACCATAGGAATAATTTCCTTTTCTTTTTTTTATTCACATGAAAATGAAATTAAAATAGGAATTTAGATTTTTTTTAAAATTGAACATATATCTATATATATACACACAAAAATCGGTTTGCTTCAGTTATTATTAGTTCCATAGCATTTGAACACTTGAGCACCTCCTCCACCCATGCTTCGAAGGTACATGAGATTAAAGAATTAAAATAAAATTAAAAAAAATATAAATCGGCAAATAACTTCCTAACAGTTACTATATAAAAACTGAAAAATGAAATAACATAAGACAATATTAAATGCAAAAGAAATTTACACAATATTGGTATAGTGAGGCTAACTGTGGCGTGTGTGAGGCTTTCGTGGTTTTCCTCTCCATGTAAAGCAAATGTGGGTTCAGTTCCATCAAAAAGTCCTCCACGAAGGCAAATTTCTCCCGATACTTGATCAAGGAGTTCCCTTGTCTTCTGGATTAGATTTAAAAATAAAAGCCATTATATCTTCGGTTCAGTTATGAAATATGGTTTTGAATTATGAATTGTAAATTATAAAATTAAAAGAATTTAATAAATCAATGTAAAAATGTATTAATTAATATATTTTATCTCAGTCTTAAATCATATATATATATTTCATTATAACTATATATATATTAAATCATATACACATTAAATCATATATAATCCGTAAATCATATACATGTTTTATTTTGCCTTTATATACAATAACATATTTTATTTTGCCGTGCTCCTCACTGATTTTAACTTAATATCTTCGCGAATTTTTGGCTTTTAACTGATATATTAAATCTAGAATTCAGGCATAGACAGTTTCTCATTTTCAGGATCTATCCCCTAAAAGTTTTGAAGCACCCTACATACAATTAGTAACAACTTCATTCCCACTCTCATTAGTTTCCCATTTAAAAACAACCTCACTTATAGAAATGCGTGTAAAAGAAGCGCCGATAAAAGCTTTCTGACCAATTATTTCTCCATTTTTATCAGGCTGATCATCACATTTTATGAAATTAAAAGATAAAATATAGAGAGGAAATGAATGAGTTCCAGTGAGTGTTACTTCAGAAATCCAT